AAGAAAGAGGAGGAGGAGGAGGAGGAGGAGGAGGAGGAGGGAGGACATCATTGTTGATGGCCATGGGACCTTAATTGCAATAAACTTCTAGCTCTAGCTATATCGATGAATCCGGGTTTTGGTTTTCAAGTACGGCTGCACATATATATATATACATGCATGGACATGGGGGAGGAAGAAGTTATGGATGTTGTATGAACACATGCGAGCGAGTTGTGAGCTGTGACCAGGCACGTAGTAGAACTAGACTAGCAGCAGCAGCAGTAATCGACTGTGCATTTGCATGTTCCACTACAAAAATCGTGTGTTGCGTTTTGGGATTTTGACATATGGAGCCAAGAGGAGGGGTCCCTCTCTTTGCTTTTCTTGCGTGAGATGCATGGTGGAAAAGGATAAGGAGAACTAGCTTGACATGATGATAAACAAGAAAGACAACAGAAACAGTAAGACAAGGGGAGACCCTAACGAGTAAGGGCCTCATTTACTCTGCTGAGCCTCTGGAAATTGATGAGAGGGAGGGATGTAGCAACAACCAAAGGAAAGTGAATGATAGCGAATTTGTTGCAAATTAGGCTCATTTGGTTTGGAAAGTGAGGGGTCTAATTATGGTAATGTATTACGTGCAACATTCTAATACATGCTAATGCATGTGCCGTTGGCTGTTGGGCGAACGCATCAGCAGACAAGACCCCAACCCCAAGTGTCCATTTGGGGCAAAAGGATGGCTTCATCACATTTGGACTCAACCTCACATCCAGAGCTCTGTGGTGTTAGGCTTCTTGCACGTGGCTTAGATCTTGGATCTTCTGTTATACTTTTTTTTTAATTATATTGATGGTATTTTTTTTCATAAATATTGTATTTTATTTTTTATTACTTTTTTAAAAATTTAACAGCTATTAACTAAGTAGTAGTAATACACAAAATTTAACAAATTCAAAAAATCAAAATACACAAAAGATGACATTTTTTGCTATATTTTTAATTTTCTATTGTATATTGCTTTTTTGAGACTATTATTATTATTTTTTACTCAATTAATAGTTATTGGATTTGGAGGAAATAAAAAAGAATTGAAATACGATATTTATGAAGGAGAAATATTAATATAATAAAAAGTGGGGCAGAAAATGTCAAGTGAGCGGGACAAAAGATTCGTTGCGATTTTTAGCATTAATAGTTCATTGCATAGGAGTTCATATACACCTAACGCTACCTACATTTGCTAAAATTGACAGGATAAGAAGTTACTAAATTGGAATTTAGCTTTACTTCAATATTTGATTAAACCCAAGTCACAGTTTCTATTGATGATGAGTATTTGGTGGAATGGAGATAACCCATTCTAGTAATTTCATTTGCTTATGTTAATAGCGAATGAATTTGTTTTATTTACAAGAAAAGTTACATTAATTGAAAGCAAAGAGGGGAGGGACCTAAGCGAATTGTTGTTGTGATGTGGTAGGTGTACTGTAAACCATAGGACGAAACTCATGAAAGTGAGAACAAACTACTTTAGACAGCAGCACCCAATGTTGAAACTTGAAACAAACCTTAGGTTTACCTATCTATTTATTTGAAGGTAATTATGAAATCTGCAATTTTGCACGCCAATCAAGAAAAGAGCATAAACAACGTACTTGGGACGCGTGGCATACCCGGGCTGATGACGCCACAAATTTAGAGATATTTCCGTCTTTTTTTTCTCTTTTTTTCTTTTTTCGATACAAAATATTACTCACTTTGTCCCACTTTGATAGTCCTGTTTCTTTTTTCACAAAGTTTAAAAAAAAGTAGTTAACTTTGTTGGAAAAGTAAATTTAGATTGCTATTTTTCTAAAATACCCTCACATTAAATATGGTACAATTTTATGGGAACTTGAATTGATGGTAAAAAAAGAATCAACTCTCATTAAATGGGGTAGGTTTATAGTAATAACTACTTACATTGAATAAGGGTATTTTAGGAAAATTAAAATATAACTACATTCTTCCATTGAAAAGTGGACTATAATTTGGGACGGATGAAAAAGGAATACAGGACTATCAAAGTGGGATGGAGGGAGTATCTTAGACTATAAGAAGGAAGGGAGGACCTGAAGAGGTCTCAAAATAACTCGAAAGGAACTGAATCATCCCAAATCAGACGGATGTATTATGCGTCCATCTGAATTTTTTGAGCAAAGCCACTTTAATATGACAAATTAACTCACTCTATCAAATTTTAATGCATCAACGGTGATCACCCGCCTAACTAAATACTGGTGGTTGGAGAAATTTCTTCATTTCACATTCCCGCCGTACAACTTTTCTTCTACTCAAACGGATCCTTGCCTAAAATCGCGATACGCCCGGTGGTGGCTCCTAGAATGGAAAGGTTGGGTGCGGGGGTTGGACGGAAATTCTAATTCTTTAGTTAGACTTTTTGAAAAAGAAATGCCTCATTAATGAATTAGTAATAAATGCTACAGTTCCCCTAATGGAGGCACAAAATATTTTAACAAGAAAGAGGGGGACAGTAGTGTACTGACATTGACGTATATGCTCGTACAAAAGACAAAAATAATACTAGTATGAATGTCTCGATACTAATCCTACTTAATGAAAGACGTCCTTCTCCAAGTGAAGTTCTTTGTTTTTGACGTAACAGCTAAGCCAGTGTTTGATAATCCAATTCAACCTGTAAATTTAATGGAATCGGGCCTTAATATAATCCAACCGTTTCATAATCAAAAATTGAATATACGAATTAATCAAGTGGCACTGAATTTTTTAATCAAAACTTGCTCCCATAATTTAAGTGATAAGCTATTCACTTGTCACTGGAACGTGACATATACTCGACTGTATCAGATTTAATACTTGACAGTTCAATAAATTAACGGATTCAAAGTTCAGATTTCAGATTTCAAACTTCAATTTTCAGGATTCAGTTTTATCAACGCACACCCTAAGATAAAATTAAGCTGTCTAATCTAACTAAGAGGCGAGGTCATAAGTGATTTGGATGATCTGCCTCTTAGAAAATTCATAACCACAAGAACTATTTATATGTGAAAACACGAGCAGGACATCAAATCCACATTACATCAGGAAATGACCTGCAATTTCACTAAATCTTTCCGTTTATCGAGACCAACGAATTGTAGTCAAAGGCGGCCTTGTTCTTTGTTCAACTGATTAGAAATAGAACCCGATCTTTCTGCGTGATACCGGGACACAATGCAGCACTATGGACTGGCTACCAAAGGAATACCATTTGTGACTAATCTTTGGAACTAATTTTAATGTTACTCATTACGTTCCAGTAGACAATTTTTTGGCAGATTAAATTGCAAAAGCCCATCAGTTTAGGGTCCAAAGTGCAATTATTTAATTAATTCCATTTGTGAGGGACTGCTGCTGCATTATAAGTGCCAATGCAGTGCTTAGTCAATTAGTACTTCATTACAAAATTTGAAAAGAGAATGGTGAAATTCGCATGAAATGATTTGCTAAATCCATTTATTGTTGACTCTTGATGATTTAACTTTGGTTAGAATCCTTGTCTGCTCCATTTGAGAGTCTTTTTGTCCGCCCAATAGAACTATAGCATTATTCATTACGTTCCATTGAAAGTGTCGTACATTTTTTTTTTCTGTTTCAAAATTATTATCACTCATCAAAATTGGCAAAAAAAAATTTTTTTTCCCCATTTCTATCTCATGCCCCTAAATATATAGAAATTGTACAGAAGAGTCGTGCATGCGTGTTAATGTATAGAAATTGAAGTAGGGTATTTTTGAAACTAACACCAAATTCATTTGAAATTTGTTGTACTATTGAAAACAAGCGTGAATCCCCCGAAACAGGACTAAAAGGGGTCATAGTCAAAATCCACCATCTAAAATTTGACTCAGCAACGACAATCAGCATCCTGGAAAGGTTACCTCTATTAAACCAAGCATTTTTTAGTAGGTAAGCCTGGTAGGTTTTCTCTCTGGTCCCTTCTCGTCCCAATCTCCAATCCATGGCTTGGTGCGTCTAGTGTGCCTCCAATCCATCCCTCAGAACAGCCACACATTGAGTCAAATAAGACTGCGAAGCGAAATTGCATGCTACTTTTTTTTTTTTTTTTTTTTTTGTCATTCCAGGGAGTATCCAGTTTAGCCAGATTAATCTCTTTGGACTTGGAGTACCCTGCTCCCCAAGAGCACCCAAGCGATAGGAGAGGCCAGACTCGAACCTGCGTCACATGACCCAGAGGGCCACCCGACAACCCGCTGAGCTGACCCGAGGGCGAAATTGCATGCTACTTGCTGCCAGTGAATGTGATTCAGCAGCTCACCTCTCCTCCTCCTCCTGCTGAAGCTGTTCTTGTTCTTGGGGGACAGGATAATATTTGTCACGGGTGCTCAATATTTTGTGCAGGAGAAAAAAATGTAGCTTTGATATTCAAATTTTGACACATGAGAGTTTAATTTCCAAATTTTAAACAAAAACAAATCTAGTATCCAAATTTTCAACTATTGAGTATATTTAGTACCTTGACGGATTTTTTCCAAATTACTACCCAAAAAAATTATGTGATAGTCATATATCCAGTAACTATTGTATAAGAAAAAGGCCGAAAGAAATGTAAAATTATCTTCTGACAGTGAGTGTCATGTAAAATATTCTTTTGACACTAAATACTAAGTTTAAGGACGAATAATTTTATCAAGTAAAATAACCTTATGAAACTAAGTACTAAATTTAAAAACTAATAATTTTATCAAAAGGATATTTTACATTTTGGCACTTTTTATTAATAGCTGCAAGACATGTGACTATCATGTGACTCTTTCAAGTAAATTTGGAAAAAAATTCGTCAAGAGTACTAAATGTGCTCAAAAGTAAAAGTTTGAATGCCAAATTTGTTTTCGTCCCAAGTTTGAGGGCTAAAGCCGTTCATCCGTCAAAATTTGAGTACCAAAACTGCATTTTTCTCTTTTGCGCAGGGATCCGAGTTGTAATAACTTCCAAGGGGAATTGCAGTTTCACTAGTCTGCTGGGATAGACTTTTTCTAGGTAATTCTTTTTTGTCTTTAGAGCCATTTTTAATTAATGAGGAATGTTACTTCTGGTGAAACCGACCTTTTCGCTTAAAAAAAAAAGAGACTCAAAGTCGCAGGCTTTCAACTTACGCACCGCAGTTGACACTGTAAGGTAGAAAATCACTCAGATTACTCCACCCACCAACCCACTCATTGACTTAAGAGTGGACTTGTACAGTTGCTGTTCTTCTTCTTCTTCTGAGTTGTCTCTTTTAATAAATCTCAAAGCGCTTTCTATTTCTCTGACCCACATTAGCTTTAATTGAACTGATTCCCATTCGGAGGGAGACTGCAATGGCGGCGCTATGGTTGCTACTGGGATTCTTGAGCCTCTTCGTTTTGTCGTCCTCCACTTGTCCTGATCATCAAAAGCAATCCCTTCTCCTGTTCAAATCAACCTTGCTTAACATCACTCGCACCACCAATGACTCCTCCTCCTCATCCGCATTTGGCTTAGAATCATGGAATTCAACGTCCGATTGTTGCCTCTGGGACAGGTCACCTGTAAATCCAGCTCCTCCTCAACAGCACCCGTGGTGGTCGCATTGCTTCTCGATTCCCTCGTATCTACGGATCAGCCGGTTGTGGTTCCCTCCGCTGTCCTCGCTCCCCTCTTTCGCCTGACTACCCTGATGCTGCTCGACGTCTCCTCCAATCACATACAGGGCGGAATTCCAGGTGACGGCCTGGCTAGTCTCACCAAACTGGTTCATCTCGACATGACGCAGAATAACTTCAGCGGCAGCATTCCTCCGCAGCTCTTTCGCTTGAGATACCTGCAATATCTCGACTTGAGCGAGAACATGCTTTTGGGGGGTTTAAGTCAGCAAGTTGGATATCTTCGAGACCTGAGAACGCTGAAATTGGATGACAATTTTCTTGGCGGAAGATCCCTGAGGAGATCGGGAACCTCACTGAGCTCCAGGAATTGTCTCTCAGCAGCAACTCCTTCTCTGGTAGAATCCCGGCGTCAGTTTCAAATCTAAGACAGCTTCAGGTCTTAGATTTGAGAGAAAATCTTCTGTCAGAGCAGATTCCCTCTGAGATTGGGGGCTTGTCCAACCTCTCTACTCTGGCCTTGGGCAAGAACAAGTTCTCTGGTGGAATCCCCCGCTCGATGCAAAACCTGAGCAAGTTGGAAACTCTTATGCTGGAGAACAACTTGCTCGCTGGAGAGATACCATCCTGGATTTTCGATATCAAGCCCCTCAATATCTTGTTTCTTGGGGGAATGGCAATATGTTGGCCTGGAGCAACAATTCCGTGACAGCTCCCAAATGCATGCTTTCTCAACTCTCTCTCCAATCTTGTGGTCTAGCTGGAGAAATCCACTCTGGATTTCAGCCCAAAAGCTCTTGTCTATCTGGATTTGAGTAAAAATGAGCTTCGAGGAACCTTCCCGCTCTGGCTAGCAGAGATGGATCTTGGAACCATTATTCTGTCAGATAATGAGCTGACTGGTCCTATCCCCATCGTCTCTTCCAGTCCTGAGTTTATCCGTCCTTGACCTTTCACGAAACAATTTCTCTGGTGAGCTACCAAAAAATATTGGCGATGCTAACGGATCATGGTTCTCATGTTGGCTGGAAACAGTTTTTCTGGGACAATTCCAAGTTCCATCTCTGATATTTATCGTCTGTTACTGTTGGACTTGGCAAACAACAGATTGTCTGGAGACACGTTTCCGGTATTTGACCCTGATGCCTTTCTTGCATACGTTGATTTCTCGACAATGACTTCTCCGGTGAAATTCCCGTGTCCTTCTCGCAAGAAACCAGGATTCTTGCTTTGGGAAACAACAAGTTCTCAGGGAAATTGCCTCGGAACCTTACAAACTTGATCAAACTCGAGCACCTAGATGTCCACGGCAATGAAATTGGGGGGGAATTCCAGAATTCATCATGAAATGTCTAGCATGCAGATTTTGAATCTGAGAAACACTTCCCTGCAAGGTCCTATACCAAACAGCATGTCCAATCTCAAAGCTCTCCAAATTCTCGATTTGTCAGGAAACAGCCTCACCGGAAACATCCCGCCAGGGTTTGGAAATCTCGTTGGGATGATTGACACGCCAACTAAATTTTCATCAATTTCAGGTGTCTTCACCTTTCCAGTCCAGTATATTGATTTAATTGTAAACTGGAAGAGATCAGTACAAGGGCTGTCATCAAACCCAAGCATCGACTCTACTCTTTGCTGGACTTGTCAAAGAACCAACTTTCAGGCAAAATTCCAGCTTCATTAGGTAACCTGAAAGGCCTAAAGATATTAAACATCTCCTCTAATAGCCTGTCCGGCAATATACCAGACAGTTTCTGTGGCCTGGAGAATGTAGAAAGTCTAGACTTGTCACACAACAATCTCTCAGGTAAAATCCCACAATCTTTTGAGAAGCTGCAACAGCTCGCAATTTTGGATGTGAGCAACAACCACCTCGAGGGTCCAGTTCCAAAAGGTGGCCAAATGGACACAATGAACGATCCAAAATATTTTGCTAACAACAGTGGTTTATGCGGAGTGCAGATTGGGTTGCCATGTCCACGGAGCCAGTAAAGCCATCAGCACCAACTTCAGAAGACAATAGCGATGAGACTAACGAGCTAAGGTTTGCATGGGAAGGAGCCTGGTTTGGATTCCCACTTGGTTTTTGTTTATCAGTTATTGTCATACTTCTAACTGGCTGGTTTCCAGCGCGAGCGTCGTCCCCGGCTCGCCGCGGCCCCGAGAAGGCACGCACCAAGCAGGATCAGCGTTAGGCGGATAGGATCATAAAATTCTTCCAAAAAAAAAAAAAAAAAACCCCCCAAAACCAACGCAGCAAGTTTAGACTAAGAGGCCTCTTTCTCTGTATTGTTCCTCCATCAGTATAAACCGCTGCTAAAGAAAGACAGTAAAAATAAATAAAAGCAGCACTGTACATGATATCATGAATAAAGTAGTGCAGTCCTTCTGGAATAACAATTCTGATAGCAGATTTCAGCAAGCAAGGACCAAGATCATGGTCCCAAGTTAGTCGCATTGTGCCTGTCATTTTCGTTCTTGGCTACGAGTCAAAAAAGTGGATGATGACATGCAATGAAAATCAACCTCCAATATTTTGGTGATTAAACATCAATTGATAATCAGGATTCATGATGGGGATTTTTATTTCTACCAAGGGGCTAGCTGCCTGCAAATGCTTTGCTCCACTACTCCTGTTCCTTGTGTTACCAAAGTAGCTTGACCAAACCATTGATTCAGTTAATGGGCTGTCGCGTCACAAATGACTCAGAATCACGTTCACCATAGCGTTTCTTTCTGGAAAGCTTAAACATAAAAATACAGTACAATTAAGCACAATTATATGTAAATTAAAACGTTGCTTACTTGTATTCCGGCAGCAGAGATTATCTTTTGTGCCAGTAGACATAAGAAGAGGTTTATCCTTGCAGTTTGGTATAATAATTATAGCCTGATGTTGGGAATCAGGAAAGCATTCGAAGCCAAAAAAGGGTACAAAAAAGAGAAGAAAAAGACAAGTAAAACAACGCAAGAGAAGAAGAATAATAGAATGGTTACATGGAGATGCGTTTCAAAGCTGAATTGCTGATTGAAGAGACAATCATCTTTTCTAGACTAATAAAATGTTAGGGTTGTACATATTAATATTCAGGCAATCAACTGTGGAACTGACAAACAAGAAGGAACATGGAGGACGAGAAAGGATAAAATAAAGAATCAATTCGACAAAAGAAAGAAAGGCAGGTCAGTCATAACAGATAGAAAGATGAACATTTCTTTCTGGGATTCCATATTCATTGTCATCAAGGGAATCAAGCATATAACTACAGAGAAAGCTTGTTTGGAAGAATGGCTAATTGCGAATACAACTGGGTGCTCAAATGAGATTCCTTATTCATTTGCAAATTGCAACTGCGCCCAGGCGGAAGTTGGAGAAGTAATGGAATGTTGATTTAAGATGAACAGAGGATTGAGGAGTAGACAAATAAATTGTATTCAGATGATGAAACACAGATATGACATAGCTCTTCTCTGATTTAATTCAAAGCTAGTCCTAGAATAACCAACTCAAGCTCATCTTCGTCTTCGAGTTGATCGTGCAGGATGCAGCCCTTCCCTCCAAATTGCACCAAAAAGCTGGCTAAGAGAGGGTTTAAGGATGACGTTTGCTAAGCAGCATCAGAGGATGACACAGACACAACCTCTGTTTTCCTCCTCAAAATCATTTTCCCCTGTCTCACTGCAGCCAATGACATCAAAACACCCCATATTCAGAGATTTTGGAATTTCTTTCTTTCTGAAACAGTAGTTGGAAAAGAGGTGGAGGCATTATTAAAGACATTGCAAGGGATCGCCATCTATTTATTTATTTATTTGAATCAAGTCTATCTATTTATTTACCATCCTGTAAAAAGATTAGAGAATTGGACAAATTTTACAAAATTCATCAGGAAAGTCAAAACAATATGCGGCTCAAATCCGAATTTGAAAGTGAAAGAAGGATGAGAAAAGCATAATATCCGTAATTAAGATTGAGGGCAGGCTATTTGATTACTACATCAATGCAAACATCTATGCTGCAACAGAGAGATATTGTGTCCTTCAATGTCAACTAGTACACAGGCTCATAAAAATGGTGAAGCAAAACTATCTCTTCAGCATCGTAATTATGTTACGTCGGAGAAGGTTCAATGCACAAGCACGCACTGACAGGGCACAATGTCACAAAAACTAGTGGCTGGAAATAAGTCGGACATTTTCTATAGCCGTTGCTAGTTTCAAAACAAGAATATAAAAACTCAGAACTGTTTTCACTACATTCAGCTGTACTAAATTGACCAAAAAGATGAAACATTCTGCTATAAGAAAAGCTAGCTATTATCAAATAGTTAATCGAAGGTTCTGCATTAGTTAATGATCAACATGCCTTATGTGTTTGAGCATAGATTCCACTGTGATGCAGCCAAAATAAGCACCAGTGACAATCCTTTTCTAGTTCCTAAGGTTATGGCATTCCTCTTTCTTTTCTCCTAACTCCAAGTTCCTAACAGATGTGTTAGGATGCTTACAGGACAAGCCCTTTGGTAACATAGGCCATGCTTACTGCAATATTCTATCATAAGTCTTTGCTCAGTACAAAATATGTCCAGTGAGTCTAAGCTGAACTCTGTATCATGTTGCTTCGGGCTAATGTCCCGTCAGGAATGCTGTAAATTTAAAGAAAATTTATCCATGTTTAGCAATGTTCACTATTTGCTTCCATTCACACTTCTAGGTGCCCAATTCTTTGATACCACCACAGGTTGTAGAATCAAGAATGTAGAAAGGCATAATTTGTTTTCAAAGTCCTCATCAAGTTAAGACTTGTGAGCTATGTGTCCTTGCGATATGCTAAAAAAATTGAGCTACAATAGACACACTTTTGGTTGCAATGGAGGAACTTGACATTTAATAATAGTATCTCAATGAAGCACTATACTGTTGAGACACCCCGTGCAAGATTTGCTTCCTAAATTCTCAGTTTTGAGTAAAGCAGCAATAACGGTAATGCCACTGAAGTTTACAGTATATAAGCACCTATCACACTTATAGCTCTTTCTTAGGACTCTCAGTTTTGTAAATACTACTACTTTTACTCATTTTTGGAATGTCAAGCTAATGTTCGAACAGACTTGGATATTCTGCTTAAAATTCAAGAACAAATCAGCAACTTATAGCGCACAGCTGCTAATTGGTCTCTACACTTCCTGATTCTTTCCAATGGTCAGGTTCCAATTAACTCGCACATCTTTCTGGTCAGACAAATGGCAATCAAACATAATTGATCCATATCTGCTTGAACAGCATAATAATCAGAAATTTAAAAATTTTCAGAATTCATCCAGGATCTCATTAAATTCTCACATACTGAAGCCACTTCTAGTTTTTTAAACGCTTGAATCAAACTTTTCCTAGTTCATCATTATTTCCTCAAAACAGCAAAGTCAAGGAAATTAAAACAGAATTACAAGAAACCATCGCCATCTCATGTACAACAATATACAGAAATTCTATCCATAGTTAAATCAGGTAAACAAACATTAGAGAGGAGGAGAGACAGAATAAGACAAAGGGAGTTAACCTGGATTCAAATTCCTTGATCTCAACAAGTTCTTTTCCTAAGTTATCCATCCATTGCACTCTCTTCTTTTCAACCTCTTTTAAAGGATCAGAAGGTCTTGTAGGGGCCTTCTTCATACAGCTCTTAAGGACATTCTCACCCTGTTCCTTCCCGTCTGGAATGTCTTCTTCTTTCTTTATCTTAGGGGCTTCGGTGGACGACTGATCAGAGCTATCAGAAACGGAAACAACTCTGTAAGGGCTTGTGGTGGGTACTTTCCAATTTCAATGGCCCAGAATTATAGAGATGAGCAGCAGCTGAAGGTTTGCAGAAGCATATGAATGGACAATGAATCTTGCAGAACAAAACCCTCATGAAAATGCTTTGCTTCATCAACGGTACATCTCAACTATCTATGACAACCATTGCAAAACCATTCCTAGTAGTAAAGATTCAAACTTTTGACTCCCACCCTCTCCTTCATAGAATGGAGATGTCAAGAAAGGGTTCAATTCATATAGATGATTAATGAATTTAATGCCCTTTTAATCACCTTGGAAGAACATTAGTGCTAAAATTGGAAAGTTGGCAGCAAAAGTACTCATCACCCAATATTAACTAACCACCAAAAATATGGCATCCCAACACCACTTACATACAATTTAGAAAAACGGTACTACTGCTTTGACATTCAATCTACGAGTATTACAGAAATACTAATAAAGAATCCGTATCCATCAATCTGTGGAAGGTAGCATAATTCTGGGTTTTGGAGGCTTGTGGAAGCGCAGTGCACCATCAACAGCAAATGGGCACCTCTAAAACAAAACTCACAAATTATCCAGAAACCTCTGCTCTCCTTTTTAAGACTTGTATTTTAATGAAAGACAAGACAAATTTCTTACCGGCACCTACTGCATATTAGTAACTTGGTCATCTGAAATGACAATTACACCCTCTTCCAGGTTGCTAATGATTGGACTGCTTTTTCCCCACCACTCACAATCTCAATTCTCATGATTGATCATACCGGTAAGTTAGTAATTCATAAAATAGGAACGGGAATATGCGAAGGCACAGGAAGCAACAAGACTCGTACAAGTAAATTACTTGCATAATAGCGGGACAGGGACAAGTAAAGAACAAAGAAAAGGGAAGCTTGGCTGATAGGAAAGTTCAGCTGCAGCCCATGGAGAAGATGGACAAATTTCAACCAACTACCCGACTCTCCGACATCCCATAACATGGCATGGCAACTATCCAGTTGTTCTACTTGACTAAAAGAAAAAGGTTCTACTTTTACCGCAAATCATTTAAGTGGCTTTATTGTGCTGTGAAAGGAAAAAAAAAAAAGCAACTTTTTCAACTTTTAAAAGTTCAGCTCTGATTTAACAACCGACTTGCAAAATCTTCATGTTGCGCTCCCATACCAGTATGTATCTTGCCAGTATGAAGCCAACACCAAAACCCATTACGATGTGTCATACAACTAATCGGGAATCTGGCGTATAAATAATGCATTTGTGCACGTAGGTGAGAATTAGGATAAGATCTTCCAGGATCAATGTGTGGGAAGATTTGGCAAGCATGATGATAATGCTATATAGTATAACAAGGGAAGGAACATACGCAATACCAGCAACAAATAATAAACTACTGCGTTAGGACTTGCAGAAGATTTTCTCTGCTTTCTATGGTAGTACATCTCTTGTGCTTTGGTATTTACAGATCCTTTTTTTTTATATAGATTGAAAAAAAAAAAATCTTTCTCTTGGTGGAATGTCGTCCAATTTGGGTATAGCCATAGGAAATGTTTAGTAGGTAGGTTATAACCTTAGTTGAAGAGGTGCCGTTGGTTGCCATTATTCTAATGATTAGCCATCAGACCTTCGAATTTGCCTTCCATGTGTGCTTTATTCTATTCACATCCTCAACAAGAAGTTTGCAGTATTGACTTTCGAAGTTGGCAAGCATAAGCCAAGGAAAATAAATGAATTTTCAGGAGGAGAGAGCTAGGGAAGTAATTACCTAGGAGAATCCATTTCCAAGTCTAAAAAACAAGTTTCTTGAATTTTTCATTTATTCCTTTTTTTTTTCTTGGTTCTTACCAAGTCATGGTATCCAAAATAAATACTATATGAATTTGACCTCCTTTCCCCCTCAGTGGCTTTTGAAGCAACGTTAGACAATAGCAGTCCCAGTTGGCTTGTCTGTGTCTCGTTCCTCAACTATAAAAAAATAAATGTGAAAGTGAAGCTGTAGTGCACTTTTCCTAAACAGACGGACAAAAACTTGATTGATGCTCATCAGAGAAGCCAAAGAGCTTTTTCCATTGCTACTATAATGTGTAGCACTTTTCTGAGAGGGTGATTCAGTCATGTGCTACCATATGATATGATTTGATGGTACCCCAATTCCATGCTATATTAACTCTTGAACATGCTCTGGCTTAAACATCTGCACATATTCAAACTTGGTTCTCTACCCTATCTGTCTCTGCTTGCTTCTTAACTTTTTTTTTTAAACACAGTGAGTATCCCAGTTTTGCCAGACTAATTTCCTTGTGTCTGCACTCCACCCAAAGATACACAAGTGGTGAAGAGGTGACTCGAATACATAATCTCGAATATTAGACTACCTCGAAACCATCCGATCCAACCCAAGGGGCGCTTGCTTCTTAACTATTGCTGATAGTTAAGGGCGCTTGTTCGTGGATTTACTTTCTTTATGGGAATTGGATTGTGAGTAGAAAGAGGGCCGGTCCTGTCCTGTCCTGTGGTAGGACTGGCAAAGGGCAATGAAGTGCTTTGGGATGCGTCCGAAGACAATAATTGCAGAAGGCAGAAAAGCAAAGCTGATGTTTATGGTTATGCAAATGCAAACAGGTGGAGGAGGAAAGCGAGGACCATCATTGGTTATGAAAAGGGTTTTTGTCAATCAATCTATTACTACAAATCCTTTTCCTCCCACTGCTGGACAGACGCATGCATTAGTGTATTTGATTGCGGTTGCAGTGTCCCTTGCCTCTCCTGACTCTGTCTTCCCTTATCCCCACATCAATCCGCATGTTACATTCCTACATCCTCCCACTGCATCTGTCATGGAGCTAATGTCATCAGTTCCTTTCCCAAATCTTCCAACATATACTCTGTCCGAACTGAGCAATCAACGAGTCACTTGATTACTAGAACTCAATCCCAATTCCTTTAGCTAGGCAGGGGAAAATTATCTGGTCAAGAAAATGTCTAATTTCCACTGCATACATGCAATAGAAGTTCAGATGAACTAAAAACTTATCCCCTTACTTTCTTTATCAAGAGTATCAAACATCATAAGAGCTAGACTTCCACTTCAGTTAGTCTGGAACGTAGAATTTGGTTTACAAGCTTCAATGTTTAAGATATATCTTTATCCACAACAGGAAAAAATGGTAATGTATAAAATTGATAAATTACAATAATGGAATAACTTCCTTCTGGATATCATACCAGTTGATTTTGTCACAGGCAAGTGCAAAAAGCCCCAACAAACCTTAAAGATCAAATAGGGCACCCGCAGCCTTCACGAGTTGGGAACAATAGTTCCCTAGTCTCCAATCACCAAATAAACAAAAGACAACACTAGTAGCACATATGCAGCAGAATCACTTTTTCCAAAAATCATACACTACTAATCAACATCTCAAATGTCAGAACTGAACCCATTACCGTCAAGTACAGATCAAGAATGACTTGGCATTAACCTAGATTTACTTGTATAAGTAAGATTCTGCCCATATGATGGATAGAATATTAATCCGCGTATACAGTGTCAATAGATTCATCAGACTTCTCTAATACATGTACAATGGGGTTTATGGATGAAATCGAGAATATAACAGAAACACATAACATGAGTGTTTCAAGCAGCCAGGCAGTATAGACCACCAAAGGTGAGTATGAAGAACTAGAGCTCTTGCCTAACCGTCTAACCGTGCAGGCAAAAAACACTTCTTTTGCAGCATTTTGTGGAAGAAAATGATAGCAAACAGCCAAGGCATCAAACCTTCACTTCATTTCAGAACAGCTAGCATCCTAGAGTAGAAACCTTCATCAACAAGGTAGCCAAACAGCCAGAAACCAAATTGGCCAGCAACTGCATAAACTACTGCTGATTCTTAAGGACAGGAAAAGCAATAACATCACGAATACTTGCAGAGTCAGTAAGAAGCATCACTAGCCGATCAATGCCAAGCCCCTGAAAAGAACAATGGTCTATGTGCATTAGATACCATGATTGCTAAAAAGCACAGCTGGTAAAAAGCTAAGACATAATTAACTAATCTTTGATTCACTTAACCTCAACTTCTATGACGCAGTCAAGCTTGAGTAAATAGTGACTAAAGATGCATACGAGTATATATTGGATATATTACTCTGTATGGAATACCAAATTTATGAATTGAGTGTTAGGCTAACTACTGGTCAGTAAAGTTTTACTAGCATGTCTACTGTTACATCATGTTAACAAAGGGTACCTGAGTTACGATGGAATGGTAATGCAGAGCTAAATGACGAAATGAAAATTGCGCTCATTTAACTTCTTATTGTAGGTAGACAGCAGACTCACTCAGACAAAATAAAAATAAAAAAAAAGGTAGACAATAATTTTATTTTCATAATGTGAATATATGGCTTACCTAGTAGCAGCAAAAGAAGAAAAGAAACCAGAAAAAGTAAAGAAATGCTACTGTAAACCTTTCGTGTACCGTCCAAGCCTTAGAACATCTTATCTTAAGACAAATTTGATATATGGTCTAAATTAAATCACAGTATACAAACTAGCCAAAATAAGACCTAAAATACTTACATCGACTCTTCTCCCAATCAAAGAAAGGAAAGGCGAAAGTAAACCATTTGACAGGTCACAGATCAGCCAGAAGTCAGAACTACCAGGCATTGAGGAGCTGACATGAGATAACAAAGCAAGACGGGGGCTATATTTCAAAAATGTAGTATAGAAAGTGCATGCTTTTAGTTCAAAAAGAAATAGCTATTCACACATTTTAACAAGGATAAATTAATTGTCTATAGACCATGCAACTTGTGGCCCACTTTAGGAGTCAGAAAGTTCCTCTTGGTCAATTCATAGAGGAACCAATGGATGTTCAAAATTCCAAGAACAGGAATTTTGCATTAGAATATTACCCCTTGATTGTCTATTATAAATAGGGATCAGATATGCATACCATTCCAGAAGCAGGAGGCATCCCATATTCTAGAGCTGTCAGAAAGTCTTCATCAAGAGTTACTTCATATGAGTCATCATCACTTTTGTTTTTATTTTCTTCACAATCAACTAATTCTGCATCAATTGCTGTTTTCTTCTCATTATGCTGCCTCACTTGAGCTTCCAGACGTGCTCTCTAAATCCATGGATAACAATCAATAAATTTAATGCAGCTTCAACAACATAGGCACCCACATACTTATGTCGGTGTTTCAATGCAGGGCCATTGCAAAACAAAACCATTAGACTTAAGCATCAATGGAAACATGAACATCCCAATTGCACAGCTTTCCATGACTAATCAAAAACTTGTTCTGAAAGAATTTAGAATATCAGTTTAAAAGAAAACGACAATCTTAGAAATGGTCAATCTCATAACAATACAATAGTGCAGTGTCTTAGTTGATAACTTGATCCAATGGACAGTCATATCTGTGTTTTACAAACTTTTTAAACTCATTCTCATTCTGACAGTTTCTTTAATGGCAAAACATGCAATATAACTTAAAAGACATGAAACAAAAGGAAAGAACTTACATCATTCAGTCAAATATTTCTACATCCAGACGCTAAAATACAACAAAAACAAGATGCATTCACTTAAAAAAAAATCAACTTACAATCACCTCCACTTGCATTACCAATTAAACAATTACACCGTCCAAGGAAAATGAAGATTTCTATTCCAAGCGTGATTAGGCATTAAATTATAGATAGCAATCTGAGACGGAAAGCTTCCTTCCTAGGAGATGAAGGTGTAAACCTACTGCATTCTCCCACCCCCCCCCCCCAAAAAAAAAAAGGGATTACCAAGGATACCTGGTCCAAAGGATCAGTTAGTTCAGAAAAGGCATTTGCCAGTTCACGACCACATATGAAGAGTTCAAATCTCTCGGTCAAGCCAGCATGCCTGAGAAGAAAAGAAGCTAAATTAAGATACGTGACTGTATTTTCATGTAGAAGACATACTAGTATAGGGTACTAAGGGAGGACACGACTTATGTTACACAAGGTGCAAACCAAAGAAGTACCAAACATCTGCTAAGAAAAGGTCCAACACAGTATAAAAGTGGATTAAGTCATGACCAGACAACAAAACAATATTGACTAACTCCTCCATCCACCATAACAGAATACAATTCCTATTTCATATTCATTGTTGATAATGGTTCTTGATTAGAAACAGATTGCACTTTGTCTCAAATCAGAGACTGACAAAAAGGCTATGAAGAAAAAATAGAAAGAACTTCCTCAAAATTCTGACACGTTAGGTACCAATCATAACATATCCATGCAAGATAACCCACATTAAATATTAAATGAGGAACTGTTCCTAATGCACTGCTGAGTAATTGAAGCATACCACTTCCAAAACAAAGCTTTAGTACCTTCTGTGCGGTTTGGCTAGTGGTGATTTTTCAATAGGATAATCCAAAACAAAAGTGGGTTGTATTAGCTGTGGTTCTACCACAATTTCGAAAACCTGGAAAAGATGAAGAAACAAGTAACTTGTAAAGTCTCAAGATGGCACAGAAAAAAGGAAAGAAGCATGCTGACATAACTCAAGTCAAGTATTCTAGTGGCTTCCGTCAGAAATTTCCCACTACAAAAATAAAATAATTCTTCAATATATGCCTCCACAAATTCATAGTGAATATCCAACAGATGTTTCAGATCTACCTCATTTAGCACATGGCCCACAGATAGGCATGCTTCAATTGAAAATGTGTCTTGATTATCATGACTATAATCAAGTGCTTTAAGGGTAGCTTCTTTTGCAGCTTTGAGATCATCACCAAACTTCAAGAAATCAATCCCAGTGGCTTCTTTGACAAGATTGTGCATTGTTTCCCGCCTCCAAGGCCTCTCTAAGCATATTCCTATCCCCTGCAAAGAAAGTTATTAATCTATCACCAATTTTAAACAACATGGATTGGTCTAAGTACAATAACCCCAATAGATTCAATAATACCAGAGCACAACTGACAATTAATTTGAAGCTACTCCGAAAATCAATTTTGTTTCCAAAATTAACAGGTCAGAATCATCTTGAGCAAATATGACCCAATAAATGAAACTTCACAAAGTATTTGACATGGATGAAAAGGAACGAAGGCAACTCATCCATTTTCATCATCCAGCCATATGCTAAGAGCAAAATATACTTTTTAACCCCCCAAAACCAAGAGGTTGAATCAGAGGGAAAAAGACAACAGCAAACTGTACTTACCTGATATTCAATGTTAAGTGTGCCATGAACTGCAAGAGCACATCGTGTCACGATCTCTTCTGTCATATTTATCATACTTTGGTAGTCTGAATATGCTTCATACATCTACATTCAAAAGCTACAACAAAATTAAAATGAAGGTTCATGGAGATTAATATTAAATGGAGCAATAGCACATAGGCCTTGTTCTCAATTGCTTTAGATTTTACAAAATCTGATTATAGAGAATAATCAGAAACAGCAAAAGCTACCTTTTGGGTGATTATAGATTTTAGCTTTTTGGTCATCAAAAAATCTATAATCAAAATACAAGAGCAACCGAGAACATAACGAAAACTGATTATCCAAAATCAGAATGTATAATCAGTTAAATTAATCAACCCAGAACAAGCCCATAGGTACATAGACAAAATCCACTTGACCATTACCAAGTGGGAAAAGATGAGATCAAAACAAGCTACAGAGAGACTT